AAATATATATATATTCTTATTCATTAATAAAACTTTGTAAATATCATGATATAAAATAGTGTATAATTTTACATCTTATTTCTAAATATTATTTGTAAATTTTTCATGAACATCACTCTCTATAGAATATACGGTAAAAACATATAAAAGGTGTAAAAAGGTTTTTAGTATAAAAAACAAACATTCCGTATTTCTAATCTTTTTATAGTGTAAATAATATAAAGTTTGATATTTACTGCAAAATACACTATAAACAGTTATATTAGATAAATTAAGTTTCCGTTACGTACGACGTATATATCGGTATTATCCTACTTATGAGTAATACATAATTATTTATGAGTAATATTATACTCGCCAAAAGCTTTAGTTAACAAAACGATAAGATTATGCAAGTAAGTAAAGTGTGAAAACATTTGCGTTGGAGTATATAAAGGGAGAAACATTCCGAATATTTTGTTATTGTATTCGGTTTCGTCATCAGGAAATAGAAAAGAGTAACTTCTTATAATTTGATTGAATGTCGATCATGTGTTTATATTGTCGACTGTTAGTTGCTTTCGCATGGACGCTTGTCACCATCACGTCAATGGAAGCAGTCCCTCATGGAGGGAATCACACACATGATGAAGCCGGTGAAGGCAATGAATGGTTAAATATGTTTCTGAATTATGAAACAGGACTAAGAACTGCGCAATGGACCGAAAAGATGAATGTAAATCCTGACGAATTGGGTGACTACTTCGAAGGAGATATCATGGCTACAAATGACATTAAAAGAAACGTACTGAGTGATGATTGCGAGTATGCTAATTGGCATTGGTGGTCTGATGGCGTTATTCCTATCGTAGTCGATGGTGATTTCGGTAAGTATCTTCAACATTAAAAATTTAGCAACATTCTGTAATATATTCTTTAAAATCAATTATGTTTCATAATACACTGATCTTCGAAATTCTTTAGAGTGAAATCTCACTCTAAGAAAATTGAGCCAATTGAATTGAGTCCCGAGAAAAATGTTTTATATATATAAAACTATATAAAATTATATATAATTATTTTATATAATTTTATATAAAACATTTTTTCCCAGGTTATCAACTGTGTGTAAAATTGTCTTATTTTATTTTTGTTTACTCACAGATGAAAAAGGACACGAACATATACAACAAGCAATAAATGAATTTAAAAAGCGTACATGTATAGAATTTAAAGATAGAACTGACGAAGATAACTATGTCAAAATCAGTAGCGATTATTCTGGATGCTGGAGCGAGATTGGCAGAAAAGGCGGTGAACAAAAAATGAATTTGCAGATTCCTGAATGTTTAGGAAAAGGTGTTATCATACATCAGCTTATGCACGCTGCTGGCTTTTCTCACGAGCACACTAGATCAGACCGAGATAATTATGTAGAAATCAATTGGGAAAATATTCAAGAAGGTATTTATTCAAATAACAAAAGTTTAAAAGGATTCATTTTCTTAAATAAAAATATTTGATCTAATCGTAAAGGGACCTAACTGTCCCCCTCCGATTTTAAGAAACTTTTAGTATGTTATTCTCCAGACAAAAATAAGCGACACGTATTTTTTATATGCCCATACGCACTTTTAGAGGATGAAATACTCTTTCGAAGCGAATATCACTATAAGAGAACTGTAAGAGAAAGAAAAAAATTTTCAGAATAAAAATTGAATGAATTCAAATGTACTTTAGAATTCCCTAAAAGTGCGTATGAGCACGTAAAAAAAAATACGTGTCACTAATTTTTGTCTGGAGAATAACATACTAAAAGTTTATTAAAATCGGAGGACAATTGGGTTCCTTTCCTGTAAGTATATTCTTAATGCAGCTATAACTTTGCAATTAATTTATCGTTTAAAATATCTAGATATTTTTCAAGTCGCTATATTTTATCTATATATATATATCTCTATAGTGTATATATTGCTTCATGAAAATTTTCTTTCATTGTTTAATAATTATTAATGCTTTAACATTAAACAGCGACTTCTTGTGTAAAAATAACACCTTTTTTATAGTTATAAATACTTTTATTGTAATAATTGATTAAAATTATTTTGTTGATTTATGTTATAAGCTTTTTTCATCATATGTACTATACATTGGCATTTTCAGGTGCCAAAAGGAACTTCAAAAAAACTGAGCTAAACTGTAGTGATTTTGACATTCCTTATGATTATGACAGCATAATGCATTCTTCAGCATACGCGGGCGCCGTACATGATCACGTAAAAACTATTATCCCCTTAAAAGTAAGTATTAGTCTTATAAACATTTTATTACGATTAGCATATGTCTGTCGTTTCCATTATCGAAGTACTTTAATTATTAGACTCAAGAATAAAAAATCGTAGAAAAATTGTTTAAAAATGATTTTGTAAGGATAACTTCAAGTTTTCACGATAGATAGTCGAAAATTTCACAATTTTTTTGACACATGGCAGACTTATAAAGTAAGAAGAATTTTCCTTTTTTAAACTCATAGTTCTTTTTGGTAAAAATTACCAAATTCACATAAACTCAAAAATTATAATAACTTTTGGAGCTAAAAAATTTCAAGTTATAAAATTCTTTTTTAAATTTAAATTTTGTTCATTTTTGACAAAGATATTGTATGTACAATATTTCGAGCTAAAAATATACAGAACTTATAAACAATCTTATTACATATAACAATATTATTATGTATAAATAAAAGTAATTTTTGTAACATTAAGATTATCGTTGAATATTTTCAGGATCCAAATGTAAAAATCGGCCAGAGAGAGCGTCTCAGCGACTTGGACGTTATGAAGATAAATGTAATGTATAATTGCTCATCGATGTCATACAATCAAGTTATGTAGAAATTATCCTGGAATTGTATCCTGCATCAAAATAATTCTCATTAATTTTGCGATGCTGATAATCCATAAATAAAAAATTAATCTTAGCTGTAATTTTCATGATATACTAACCGTAAGTTTAAAAAATTTGAGTTTAATATAAAAATTAAGTGATATCATTGTTCAACGCCATTATAGAATATAAATATAAATAGTCATTTTCGATATATTTTTGCCTGCTAAACGTAAATTCGTTGTTCAAATTTAACGTTACATCACAATTTTGAGAAAAGTGGGATCAAAGAGATATATAGAATGACGATTTTTATGATTTTTATGACATGATAACACCGGCAGCACATTTTATTTTTAAGTTACTTTTATATTACGCGAAAGTATTAATATTTTAGATTTAAAAAGCATTTTAGCTGATTTCGATATTATTTTTTGTTTTCAAAATATATTAATTTGAATATAGTTCTCTCTTTTCAGTAGGCATAAATATATAGGAAAATGACTGTTTACATTCGCGATACCAAAAAAAAGTTAAGTTTTGTTAGTGTAATTAGCATTTATATATATAATATGTTATAGATTACTATCAATAAATAAAAACTAAATAAATATTACTTCGTGAACATTGTTTACTTTATCAAGGCAAAAAGCTTATATTGTATATACATTAATCTTAAAGTTATGTATAAATACACAAGTATATTCTTTATGGAACTTTACTCATTAAACATTTCTTTTATCGAAACTTGATCCATATATTCCTCGTTAATCGACTATGTATTGATTGACTCTAGAAATTAATAAAATTTAAAATTAAAACAAAGGAATATGTAAAAATTTTTATTTAAAAGAATTGTATTTTGAATTAATGATACATTTCAAAGAAGATTTGAGATATCTCGCGAAAATATTCTTTATTTGTACATCATTACGAGTGATTCGTAGAATACACCGCGGCAATGTATCTACTATTTACATTACAACGAAGTTTCTTACTCTATTTATTTTCGATAAAAACGCAGAGAAAAATTGCAATTAAAGATTTGCTCACTAATTTAAAAAGTATACATTCGCCAGAAAATTATTATTACGAAACGAACTTAAATATATCAATACATCAAATAAGTATAAAGTAAATTTTGAATTGTCATGTAATTACAATAGAAAAAAATGTAATATAATTTTTCAGTAAAGTTACAAAATGTGGCTAATAAATTTGATAATCCTTCAGATTAGTTATATATATATACGTTACTATATATATATAAACAAATACACATTTTTTAATGAAATTCCACATTAATATTTCTAAATAAAACTAATCAATTGATAACCAATTTTGTAAAAAAAGAATACAAACCTGTATGTACGTATATAAAATATCTATTTCTTATCTTATACGGTAGGAGATTCGAAATAACACAATAATCCCCAAAATAGTATACGTATGTGCGCGCACGCGCATGCGAGTATTCCACTTAATTTTTACATTATTTATTTTCAAAATATCTAGTAATAACTATATATATACTTATACTTTTTTATATAAATATACTTATACGTTTTCTAAATTCCTCTCTTTCATTTATATGTGTAAGATACACAATGTCTGTAATGAAATAATAATACGACAGTGCAATTGAATCGTTTGATTAAACACTGTGGAATCAACCGATCCAGGTCTTCTTAATGAAATCTGCCGCTCTTTCACCTGCAACATGTACATATACAGTTATAAAGAGAAAAAGAGGAAGATGACAAGGTTTACGTACCGATCATAATCGCTGGCGCATTCGTGTTGCCGGATGTGACCCTCGGCATGATGCTCGTGTCGGCCACCCTTACACCTCGCACTCCTCTGACTCGCAATTGATTGTCAACCACGGCCATTGGATCATCCGGCGGTCCCATTTTGCAGGATCCCGCCTGATGATTCTCTGGTGCAGTGTCATGACGAATCGCACATTCCCAGTAAGCGTCGCAGCCGAACTTGAGATGCTCGCAATTCTTCACGGGAGTTCGGTCCAGCTCGAAACCATACCTATAAGACATTTCCGTAGAATCCACGAAAATAAGTCAAGATACCTAAGACTAATCTAAGATTTTTTAATTATTTTTGATTATGATAAAAATGATCTATGATATAAGAAACTAGTGACTTGTGTTAAAATACGAAAAATTTTTTATTGAAAAAGTATTGCGAAAAATACGAATTAAAGTATAGCATTTGATTGAGTTCATTTTAGGCGATCTACAATTTGCGTCGAAGTTTAGAATCTAATTCTATTTATATTTTTGTATACTCCGCAACACAAATAAATTTAAAGAATAAAAAGAAATGCACAGAAACATATATTTTAAAATATCTACGTATATCAAGTATATAAAATTATAAACAGAATTTTATCCTAAAATCTAAAATGCAAGTAGTAAACCGTCCATGGGTTTAAGAGATTGTTTAGGAAATGTAAAAACAATAGCAAAAACAGGAATAATAATAGACATAAGTATTTATGCTCTTCTATCTGGAACTTTCATAAATTTTTTAAAGGGGATGCAACACGTCTGCGTTTACTTACATTCATGGAAAAAATTACTAAGAATGAAAGTTAATCTTATATAATACCTTTTGAGAGCCTGGGTATCCGTTAATCGGATACTGAACTTAACGGCTTCCACGAGAGCTGCCGAATCGTCGGGATGAGTCAAGTATTTGGGGTAGATCAGCGGCTTCGAGAGAGGATCGTTGTTTCGTAAGCGTAGATAACCGCGACTTTTCGGATGCAGGATAGTCGGGATGACGTAGATAGTGCGGTTCGCACCCTTCTTTTCGCCCACCATTCCAGTCTCCGCGCAATCGGCCAGGTAACCGCCGAAGATTAGCTGCACATCGGGATGATCTTCTTTCGGATTCGCGTACTTGGTGTTTATCATTGCTGTCACTTCGGATATTCCTAGATCAATGCAATGCTAAATGAATCTCGTTCTGTTCTCTGTTTTCAAAAAAAATCTAATAATGTTATTAATTTAATGAAATAATTTTGTGTGTGTATAGAACGGTAACAATTATTATCAAGGTTCCCACATCATTCAAAAAAAGATATTTTTACAACCAAATATTTATTTTACAATAAATTGAAGCGACAATCAATCCGTAGTAATATTTTATCCATTAAATCTGTAACTTCCAATATCAGTATATCATTGATTAATAAAGAAAAAATTCAATTATTAATCTGACTCACAGTTCAGTCGATTTTGCTGTTAGGCGAAGTTCGAAACATCAGTATTTCGAGCATAGATGCAATCGACGTTTTTGCGACACACTTAATGTATCCGGATCGCGTTTATTATCCTTATGTAATTTAATTGAGCTCCGAATCGCATATCTGATTCGCTGATGTCAAGAGAAGCGATTTTGCGAGCTGCATTTAGCGAGAACTGTGCCCCATTATAACGTCTCGCCGCGCCGCAGGCGTTCGTGCGAGGAGGCGAGAGACGCGATTTTCAGACGTGAAGGAGTTCAGCCTCGGAGGTGAAGCTTGTTAAAAACTAGCACAGCTCGAGGCTACCGATCGTACTGGATACCTTAAAAAGCGCTATGGGTTATGATCGAGTTAGTCTCGTGAAAGGGATACGTTACGGATATAACACACGCGACGGAGTACGTATCTACATAAATTCCCGAGCAATTTACTCGGTGAATTCCCGACGCGAAGTTATGCGCTCGCATCATTTTCATCGGTTATTCTCCTATCTTTAATAAAGCCCCAGGAATATTACAAGCGGAGTGCAAAGTATAATAGATATGCCGCCCAGTCGGAATTGTCTGTACAATTAAATGTATTAATTAGATTATCGTACAAAAGGCAAAATACGTGATCTCGAATAAACTTTTTCGTGCGTACTGTCTTTCATTCTTTCTTTTATTAATGGCACAATAAACACAAATGTTCGTACCTCACTATGGTTAGAGCTGGATATATTTTAGACACTTGTATTTGAAATAAAATATTTGAAATACAATTTGTATTTTGCATTTCAGAGAAGCGCACAAAAGTATTTTGTATTTCAAATACTGTAATAATGCATTTTGCTCAGCCGCGTCTAAAGTACACGTTAAAGAATGTGTGTTATCAAGAAATAAGAGAGTTACTGCCTCTTCTGGAAACTCTAACGTAAGTGAAATAGAATTTCCGCGCAATGTCGAGGGCTTGGCTTCGTTGAGGAATTTAATGATACATATCGTAATTAAAAGGTATTTTGTATTTAAAAAAATTTATAAGTATTTTCATTTTGTATTTTATATTTCAAATCGAAAGATTGACAGTATTTTGTATCTTGTATTTCAAATATTTTGATGCTGTATTTTGTTCAGCCCTGACAATGGTTAATCATACATAGAGCGATTTTTAATAATATGTGAGCATAACTTTAGAAATTAATTCAGGACACGGAAAGTTCATATAAACGTTTCTTCTGTCTATGATCTTCTTTTCCAAAATGCGTTTTCATGTTTCACTCATTTTTATTATAAACTGAGTTGGTTTAGCTGATTCTATTCAAATGTTTACTATCAATTTAAGATGTAATAATTAAATTAAGATGTTTATTAAACAGAAATGTGTCATGTGTGCTATGCTAATTCAGTTTGTAATGAAAATTAATAAAACACGAAACGTCTGTAACTTTCGGAAACAAGATCAGATAATACATATGTTTATATAAATTTTTATGTGTTATTTTTATCCTGAATTTATTTCTAAAGTTGTGCCTACTTATTATGAAAAATCCTGTATTCAGTCTCTTTTAATCGCTACTTACACGCGTCGTAATTAAACCTATAACGTAATGAAAATGCAAATGTATGTTTTGTAGAAAAATACATGATAATTACTCAAAGCGAATAAATATTAATTTATAAGAAGGAATTAGTGTAAATATTAGATTGATGATCAACCTTAAATATGATCACTGATGTTCTCACTAAATTATCGCACTTAAATTAATAATATTGCAATGAAAGAAATTATTAGCTATTGACATGTCTAAAAGTTACGTCAGATATTATGTATTTCATACATCGTTAAGTTATTAACTTTTAATGTTATATCAATATCTCTATACATTTCGTTTTTTATCATTGTATTTCTCAGACTCGTTGTTAGGTTTTTTTTCTTCGGGTCATAGAAAGCTTGAGAAATAATATTCGTACATAATGATGTATGGAGTGTATGTGAAATAATGGCACGGTACGAGGATCAGATAATTCGCATTGACAAATCATAAGAAGAGAGTCACGAGTACCGCACGAGGCGACGATCGGCTTCGAGTCGGCAATTCGGATGACGGTAAATAGATCTGTCGGTCGGGATAAGTCACGTAATCGCGGGTCGACAGAACCACGAACGTGACCATTGTGCAATAATACACTTTCACTGCTCGTGGCACGAAGTCCGTGAATTAACGCTCCAGAGATGCAACATCCTTCGACATGGTAAACAGGAAGGAGAAGCAGACTAGTACTTTAACCCGACCGCGTTGCCCCGATCAATGAAATTGCAACCCTAGGGAGTCGATCTCAGGTCTCGAGTTCTAATGTAATAACCCGAGACAATGATGGCTTATACTTGTGGAGTAAAAATACAGATAGGATCGAAGTTACGAGCTCTTCGATTTTTCTCCGAGAGCCACGCTAAACTTTATTTATGTTTCAAGAAATTAAATTTTTTAACTTACGTCATTGGTTAAATATTTTTTTGAAATTATGATAGACAAATCAATAATTGATCAAAATTTAATAAAATGTAAAACAAAACTGCAGCGAGTAATTTAATTGGAAACGTGATTAGGTATCCGTTATGTCTTGTTGCATGTATATGTATGCTCGACATATGTGTATATTACTTTGTTTTAATTTTACATATATAATTAATTTTTTTAATAGTGTTAAACAGTTTATTATTTTCCTAATTTTTATATTTTTAACAATTCTTTTCTTTTCTTAACTTTATTTGTTATTATATAACTGTAAATATTTTTTATATATATTTATTTTTAAATTTTTTTATGTTATCTAGGAAGGTTCTTTAGAGTGTGTGTGTGTGTGTGTGTGTGTGTGTGTGTGTGTGTTTAGTCGTTTCACTTTTACACAATTAAAAAATTTTTAAGTAAAGTTTAAAGCAATCTGTCTTACCTGTACCAGACATCAGTCCATCCCTGAAGAGCAAATATTCCATAGCGGTCGCCCAATTGAGAGGAGTAGTATCGGTATCATTGATGGTGAAGATCAACGCGTAGGCAACGTGATTGTGAAGATTCTTGCCGACACCTGGGAGATCGCGAACAACCGGCACTCCCACTGTATTGAGTTCATCTCGAGGTCCTATGCCGCTATTTAAGAGGATTTGCGGCGAGTTAACGGCACCTGAACAAACGTGATGATTTTATTGCGAGGATTTGTGTGCACGATAAGTAATGCTAAATGTATAACAATAAATCCTACAGATTTTGCCACTGAATATCGCGAACGTAAGAGGTAATGCAAATTTATTCATTCATTAAATATTTATAAAAAAAATATTTATAAAATTTATATAAAATATATTTATATAAAATATAAAGATTTGAAAATAAAAAAATAATTTCTTCAATCTCTATTGTAAATTTAATTTTATTATCTATTGTAGAATATTTAAAGATAAAGAATTTATCGGCGTGTATTTGTCTTCTATCGCTTCAATATCACTGCGAAGTCTAGTCCCAAAGACGTCGTAAGATGCGCAATCCATGTTCGAGAGAAATCGATTACTATCCCTCGAGAGAATTTGTAGAAGGATGAGTAACTGAGACTGATTCTCTATATATGTGTGTAGAGCGTGTGGTTTCTAAACACAGATTTCTATATATGCGACATTCTTGACATGAATAGGAATGTAGCTGCGCCTCTTCAGAGGCGTCTTCTTCCGTGTCAAAGATAAGACGGAACCGTCGATATATCCGAGCTCTCGAGAAGTCTATAGAGATTTGTCTAACTTGCACCGGTTTAAATTACACACGAATGCTAGCCGACGAAGAGTTCGTTATCCCAATTAATCGGTAGAATTACCTCCGCTCACGATCACCTCCTTCGCCACCGACACGTGTTTCGTCATTCCGTCGTGAAGGAACTCGACACCGACCGCCCTGTTATTCTCGTCGAAGAGGATCCTTGTCGCCGTCGAATTAAGCATTATGTGGAGATTCGGGCGGTTTCGGGCGGGACGCAGGAAGGCGCGCGCCGTGGAAAGACGTGAGCCATTCCTGGATGTGGTCTGCGCTATGGCGAACCCGGTGTGGGTTCGTCCGTTCAGATCAACCGTATCGTATCCTGATATAGATAGACAGATAGATAAATAAATGCGTTTATAAGAAATTTTGAAGTAAGTCCTCTAAAGTGGCGTCTATAATAAGATTAATTGCGTCAAATTTAATAAGGCTTTAAGTCTTAAACCGTAAAAGAGAGAAATTGATTAATCACAGTCGAATGTGAGGAGAATAATCGGCTATTGATTAATTTCTTACGGCTTAAGGCTTAAGGGTTAAATTTTACGCACTAAAATCTCATTGCAGACGCCGTAAAAGAACACAATAATGTATTGAGATTAAAGGCTAACAAAGACAAGACACGGTGAGTAGATAATACGAGAAGCAAAAATTGAGCGGAAATAAAAAGAAAAAGGTGAGAACAAAAGCAATTCATCTTGGATTTCTTCGATTAATCTTGATAAATTTAGAGGTAAAGATTGTGTGATTGCTCAAACCTCGCAATTACCTAATTCTTTTCCAGCTTCCAAAAGAGAGGTACTTAATGGCGGGTGGTAAGGAAACTGCATGACCGTGAGTGGCCCGCCGACCCCGTGATAGCCATAATCCATGCTGTTCACTTGCTGATTATCCTCGCTCCGTATAAAAAACGGTAGGACGTCGCGATAGGACCATCCGACGTTGCCGAGCTTGGCCCAGTCGTCGTAATCCTTGCGCGAGCCTCTCATATACATCATCCCGTTCATAACGCTCGTACCGCCGAGGACCTACGGATTTACGTTGTTATCTACAGTTTCATACTGTAGTTTCACATAGATACTTCATAACAAGTATTTCTGACAAAGAAAATCCTCTAATATATTTTTAATAAAAATCTACAAAATTATAAATTGTTAAATTTATTTTAACAGTAATTCATTAATTGCAAATTCATTAATTTTCTGTAATGACCAAAGATACTTAAGACTTTTAAAAGTAAATACATTTTGTATCTACTACCAACATTTAATCATGATATAATTTAAATCAGGAATTCAATTGAAAAACAATTAGAAAAGTTGATAGAAGATTGGAAGAATTATTGTAACATCGAGGTTTCTTCCTCTTTCCGTTTTTCTCTCAGCCAATTCTACATACTTTTCCTCTAGGCCAGTAACATTTTTTGTGTTCCTTGTTCAAGCAAGCCTCGTCCTCGCTCTCTGTGGTGTATTGCCAGTCGATGTCGCTGCCGATGAAGTTGAAGAAGAAGGAAGGTATCTGGGTGCCCGTTGGCTCGTCCAAACCAGCTTCCAGCAGCAATACGGAAAATCTCGGCTCTTCCGACAATCTGGCCGCGACGGTCGCTCCAGCGCTACCGCCTCCGATCACGACGAAATCGTACCTACAGAAGGAGAGACATCATCGCGTTGACATCGAATCCTAATATTAAACCTACATATATTTGGAAACAGTTACATTACAGAAATGTCATAAATCTTGTCTGGTTTTCTCTGGTATCGACAAAGTACTATATATGCATATCTCGTTACTCAGCCTTTGCGCTTAATTATCGAGCTGGGTCATTGATCTTGTGATCGGATGAAGCGCGACGAAATAGCATGAAAACTCTTAGCTTACGCAAATTCTTTTCATTGGAATCTCGATCCTTCTCCTTAATTTGAAAAATGACGTTTCGAAAGCGAGAATATCGTGTCGGATGATTGCTCGGTTTCCAACAATTTACGACGCATACTCATTTACGAAAGGCACGTTAATCAGCATAGTCATATTATTAAGTGATCCCCTTACTTTTTACGAATTAGAAACTGGGTTAGAGAGAGATGATAAAGAGAAATTATTACGGGAAAAAGTGAGAAATTAAACTCACTGTTAAACTGAATTATTTGTTCTCTCGTGATAAGTTTTCTTCTTCCTTTAATTGGATAATTAAATCGATAATTATCGTTGCATAATTAATAACGTAATAAGCCTCGTTCTGGGATTTAATTAAACTTTATTAAATTCGATTCCTAATTTGCCTGGTAAACTAATGATTGTTGCATCATGAATGTTGGTAAATTCGATCGATTTTGCGCCGCACCAGGCCCCTGTATTGGGGACGGTGCACCCTTTCCCTTCTAGCTATGCCTCCATATCGACATCGGGCGAAAGGCGGGTTTCTCAGGAGGTTGTTCGGGACGATCGTAAGTGTCCGTGGTATATGCTCTCAGCTGAATGCCACGGCGTGTCTGTATATCCGTATTTATACGCTAGGAGGGACAATGACATACTTTTACGCGCGAGACTTGATAGAACGGCGTACACACATAATAAAATACTATAAGAATCTCCCCGATCATCTTCCTCTCAATTCTGTCTTCGATATTATTAATCTGGAACCAATTTCCCCGATAAAATTGCCCGAGGGATACGTGCTTTTTAAATCGTAAACATTAGGTCATTTTTTTTTTATTTTTACATTAAAACTGCACCAAAACTTTCTGTCTCGTTTTTGCCAAATATCAAATACCTATTTATTCACTTTAAGTTCCAAAAGTGTAGTTCAATTATAGAAAATGAACTTATTGTAAGATAAAGGTCTTAAAAATAAGACATAAAAAAAGTATAAGTAGTTAACAATAGTTAATTAATAGAAAGTATCAAATTATTATTTTCAAA